TGATAATAAGAGATTTAAGTTGGTGTTATCATTTATTTGTGGTCTTTCATATCTTGGAACATCTTTCACGTGTCCTGTTTGATTAAATTTTACAAAAATTCTATTAACTGTGTTTCTGGCGATTGAAGGTCGTTCAAAATGTACTTCGTTGAACAAAGTACACATTTCTTCGTGGATTCGAAGCCTATCACTATAACCTACCATCATTAGGATTTCTATACGTTCTTTTTCGGTTAAACGAGCCATATTTGTTTTTCAAGTCACATACTACCGGATTGCATACATCCAAAAAGTATTCTTTAGTTTGTTAAACCAACTTAAAAACTGACAAAAGCGATTCTCTTTGAAAGATTTTTATTTCAATTTTTAATTATTTGGATTTCATTTTGTTTCATGTTCATATCATGTTTATTTCGTGTGTTATTAATTTTTTGTTATGCAACCTCTACATCAAGCTACATTTGCATATGTAGAAAAATAAGCTTTATCAAAAATCATTGTTGACGTGATAACTTTTATAAATTTAACGTAAATTTTTTTGACAGGTGTCACAAGATGGAGAGTAAAATGAAAGGCTTGACATATTTGTGCATTTTTTTCAAAAAACAAATGCTGCTCTTTTTATGAATTTTGTGCATTACTTTATCATAACCCTGTATATATGCAACCATTTGTCATGCATACGTGGCATACTATATGTTCTCCATTTGTATTTTTATATTTTTAATAGACGTGTAAAAATTTGTTTTATTAGCTCGACTAAAAGCTATTATTATTATAGTACTAAATCGTGGATAAATAACCGTATCTGTGTACACTGTGTTGAAGAGACGAATAAAACTAATTGATAAAAATTGTCTCAGTAATAATATTACATCATATAAAATGAAATGTTTCAGTAGATGGAAACAGTATGAATCATATTTTTAATGTTAAATTAAACGTGTCAATGGTTTACAGAAGGTTTATAAATGTACGCAGCAGTTTTAGTCATAAAAGCATTAGTCATTTCAAAGTCAACTAATTACTTTTAAAGGTGTTGTAAAATTTTATTAGAGAAAGAAGAATGCAACTAAATACAAAAAAAGCATCCATCAGGCAAAGTTTACAAGAAATAGCAGTTATTTTACATGGCCTCTCTTTCAACTATTCCAAAGTTAATTTAAACATTCAACCATTTATGATTTATGTCAAAAATACTTAAAAATGATACAAATAGTGCAAATCACCATTTTTTTAATGGTGTTTACATATCTGAAAAAAATGAACTTATTTTCTTACCTATTATTTTGAAATGATTTATTATGGTACTAATGTTGCCTGCAATCGCTGAGTTGTAACAAATGAATCAATAAAAGAAGGGAGCTTCACCTTGTTAATCCTTCCATGACACAGTTATTGCTCAGCAAATAATACAATTAGTGCATTTTCTAAGAAAAATCGTGTATTTGCAATGAATATGTTTATGGTATAGTTGCGGTTTGCTATAACGCAAAAACGATTCTTGGTATTTTAAATCAATGCGTACTCCATTCCTAAGGCAATGAGAGATTTTCTTTAATTCTTTTGAAATAATGCCGCAAAGTCCTTGGATTTTTTTTGCTGTCAGTCTATGATATTCCTGCAAGAACTTGCTAAATATATAAATAAACTGTGATCTACAAAAATCTCCCCCCCAATCGAATTTTGTTGAATGTAACTAATGCTAGTTACGGTATATGAATGTAATGAAATCGTCAGTTAGGTGGGTTCAAAAGTCTGCAATTCGAAAATTTTAAGTTCATGAGAGCATCAAAAAAATACACAAGATAATTATAGGTACTGTTACGAAATAAAATCATACACCGCCTATGGGTCTTCTAGTATGTATGTGTTTCTTCTAGTATGAAGTATGAGTCATCGGACGCGCGACGCGGAAAGCCTGAAAGCGGATGTCGCGACGGGCCCAGAAAACCCTCGAAGCGGCGTTCTCGATCCATGGAGAGAAACGTATAAGTTTAAATAGAGGCAACCGTCGGGAACGATTATTATTCATCAAATCGAGTCCACGAGAGTACAGTCAAGTTGCGCCGAAATTATTTTGTATATAATGGCTGTGTAAAAATCAGTGGTGTAATTCGCGTTATTAAGAAATAAAATGTTGAATTTTACCCAGACATGTAGATGGTGAGGGTGAAAAGAACAAACTCCCGTAATACGTTGTTTTAGATTTTCCCAGTAGGTGCACGGTTAATATGAAATTTTGTTTTACAATTGTAACAATTTTAAAAATAAATTCATGCACCAAATTAAATGCATGTGTTGAAAGAGGAAACCACCAGTGAATTACTCTTTTTAATTGTTATCTGTTTGTCGTCTGTCTGTTGATTTTTATTAGGCAGATAATCTTTGAAACCACCAGACCGAGTGTTGTCAAATTTGATTAGTATGTACGTTAGGGATATCGTGTAGAAGTGAAACACTATTCAAAATTTGTTTAATCATCTCCCCCAACAGTATGATGATGGCACCTTAAGGTGCATAATAAATGTTATTTTAATTTTATGAAATAATATAAACCAAGTGTCGTTTATGAATTTGTATTGATTTTACTTCCCGAGGGTAAGCTAAGGAAATACTGTAATCGAGCCCATCGGGGGACTGGCCACTTTCAAGATTTCTCTACATTCCATGACCGCCAAAGTATGAAATAATAGGTCTCCCATTTCCCTCCGTCTGTCTGTCTGTCGTGTGTTTCAATTTTTATTAGACAGATAAATCTTCGAAACTGCCGGGTCGATTGTTGTCAAACTTTATATGTATGTTAAGAATAGCGTGTAGATGGTAAACCGTTAACCAACCTTTGTCTAATCATCCTCACCAACAATGAGATGACGTCATCTCCAAAATTTACAATAATAAATGTTACATGTGTGAAAAAATCAAAGTGTGCACAATTTGACTTAAACCGAATCCTATGAAATCTTGCAAATGTATTAAAATTCTTGGAAGCCTAGTAAACCCTTAATCAAAATTTGTCAGTTTATGTTTATGTTCTTCAAATTTATTAGTGTTTACGCTAGATATCCAGTTTTTTGGAAAAATGCCGAGTGTGCAGGTTTCCACTAAATAAAGATCGCAAAATCAAATTTTATAATTTTTCAAAAATCGGAACTTGTTGGACTACACTTCTTGCCCTTGGGCAAGGGAAGTTTTGTCGAAAAAACCTTCGACCAATTTTTTACGCTACACCTCCAAATTTTAGAAAAGTAAATCAAAATCGTACATTTTATAATTTTTTAACACCGAAACTGCGAAACTGAATGCTTAGAAATTTTGCAACGGTTTTACGGTTATCGTAAATATGGTAAATCCTTAATCGAAATGTATCCATTTATCGCCTCAAAATGATGACGTAATTTAAAAAGTTTGCCAAATAAATCCTGTCTAAAATATGCAAAATATCATATCCATACTTCTGGTTTATCTATGCATTCATATTTTTTAAAATTGTTTAAACTAAAACAAAATAATGAATGGGACTATTTATTTCATTGATTAAATCAAGAACCGATCACTCCATTTTCCCGAAAATTTCATTATTAGTACATTTTACACTACGCCTATTCAAATTGATATACGAGTTCTTGTTAAACATTGTTGTAATGAAAAAACTCACTTAAAACACACGCATAGCATGTTCTTTACTTGCATTTATGAGTTAACATATAAAACATAGATTTTTCGAAGAAGCCGCATTTGTTTGACTGTACTTCAGAGGAGAGGAAAGGTCTGTCTAAATAACATTTGACCATTTTCATATGGAGACGGCAATCTGTAGCAACCACTACATGAAGAATAGTGTATTATTAAAATTTTATAAAAAATATATGCTTAAGTATAAATAAATACAAAACTTCAGTGTTAAAATAAGGCTTAATAAAACTTTGAAATGGCGCTACAAAGTTTTATTTGGTTAGACTTTTACCAACGAAACAAGTTGAAAGTAAGGATTAAATTCAGTAAGTAGACAAAAAGTCAAAACCTATCAACTAGTACCTACTATGTGTTAGAGAATGACATACGATGAATTCCTGTTTCAGTAGCGTCTGCTATACCGGGGACCATAGAATTTAGTTTTAGCATTTAGCATATGAGCACAGAATAAGGTGATTACTTATTATTCATTATTGTATATATATAAAGGTGGTGAATAAAATCATCATCGATAAACTGAAATCGTATTTTCCATATTTGGATGTTTAATAGTTTTAGGGTTTTAGGACAGTACTTGAGAGTCTTGAGACTATAAGTTTTCGCGAAAAGTGGTGGGGCTTCGTTTAAAAATAAAACTGTGGAGGCGACAGCGTGGGAGTTATTATACTTCTATAAGCCTTTTGCTGTCATCCATTAGGTACATACACGTCACTCAATATGTCGTTAAAGTTATCTTTTATAGCATAAATATTTATACGTATAATAAAAGCAGTGTTAATCATTTTGTCAACAGTTGCAATAAAAACGTGTTTAATAATTTTTATCTTTCAATAAAATAAAGATTTATATATTTTTTTCGTTGTTACTTTTAAAATAAAAATATTAACCCTAGAAGTGTATCAGTTTAACAAAGTATCATTTTTTTAAACAGTGAAAATTAGAAAAAATGTTGCTTTTACTAACTTGATTAGTTACAATATATACTGAACTTAAAATCCTAATTTTATTCACTCATCATAATCTTGTTTCTTTAGTGCAAAGTATAAAAAATTGCACAATTTTAAATGTAACCATATAGTTTAGTACAAGCAAATTACTTGAATAAATCTCACATACACATAAGACAGTAAGTGGAAGCAAATTTGACATGTGAACTAACAAAACAAAGGTAGTTTCGGATTAACTTTTTGATTGATGAATAAAAAGATAACACAAGTGTTCTAGGAAGATAAATATGGACAATACAAACAAAATTTCCATTCAAATTTAAACAACATGTTTAAAATTTAGTGAAAAGTAAGTACCTTTTACAATCCGCTGTGTATTTTAGGCGACATGTCCATATTCCCTTCTACCATAACCTTTTGGAACAGCGTCGCGACGCCAACTACGTGGCGTGGTGTTGGCGACGGCGAACTTATTACCCAAAAATCGATATGCTGACGTCTGCGTTGCATGTTACGGACGTATGTGACGCCAACGTAGTCAATTTCACCATTCCCAGAAAAACGACTGGACACAGTGTTCAAGGTCTATTATTAGAATTTTTTGTAATTTTGATGCTTAAAAATAATAGTAAAGAAATGGGTTTCACTATTTCTAAGAAATACTTAGGGGTTTGCATTATTTAGTTTCAAAGATAAAGGTAACGCGTGGTCTTGTTGCAACGACATGCAACGAAGAAAAATTATGGAAATTGTGCTGCGTAAAGTTGAAAGTTATAAGTCTAACAATAACGAACACTCATTCATTACTCTTTTGATATTTAAATAACTAAGTAATGAATTCGCTTATGCACATACAAGGATATATAACTATGTAATTTAAACCGGAATTTTGTTTGCAAAAAAAAAATTGTCCATTTACGAAACAATTTTTTCTTCTTCTACAGATATTCTTAATTTGTGATTAAAACAATGACCGCATCCATTTCATACTTATGATGCGTAATAGCAATAGTAGTAATAATAATAATAATAATAATAATCTAATCAATGCATATCATTACTTGGTCTTAGTACCCATAATGATAGAAGTCTTGCCTGAATGCCGGTCATTTCCGGGTCAGTGGTGGGTCTTAATAACAACAGTATAATAAGATCAAGTAATTAATACCAAAACTCATAGGTTTTTGCATCCAGTACCGGTAGGTTCGCGAAGGTGAAGAACGTAATTTAGCGTCTTTTTATTCTACCATAATGGTTATTTATAACACAGTTCGCATTTAAAGAGCAAAAATATTGCTTACTGCAATAAACCTTAAAATGTTTGGGAGATTTCGAATTATTCGGTTTCCCAGTTCCACAGGTAAATTGTAAAATGTTATACAATTTTGATTTCCAAGCATGTGGATATCAAGGGTAAAATTTCAAGCCGGATTCATAAATCACAAGAGTATGTTATTTCTTATAATTTAAATATCACTCATTCGGCAAAATTGTAATATGACGTCATCAATTGGGGCGAGGGGGCTTAAACCTATAAATGTTGATTAACGATTTACCATGTTTCTGATTAACTTAAAACGTTTGAAAGATTCCACAGCATTCGGTTTTGCAATTTCTAACTTAAATGCAAGACAATTTAAATTTTTTCTTCGAAAAATGTAGATGAGTAAAAACTAAACACGTATTCTTAAATCACAAGTTAGTATTATTTTACGAAATTGAAACAAGTATTCAGCCAAATTTAAGCTGACGCCTTCAATTTTTGCTTTCGACAATCTTAAAACGTTTGCAAGGTTTCAAAGTATTCGGTTTTGAAATTTAAAAGTTAAATTGTAAAATATTGTTGTACGATTTTGATTTCTTCCAACAATCACTTTTTTGGAAATTGATACTGCCAACAAAACTTTCATGGTTAGAAAACAGTTTCCCTGCCATAGGCGTAGGGAATTGACTAACTCTGTTGGCGATGGTACAGTTGAAATCAAGGATACATTTTCTCCTCTTTGGTTGAAATACTACAAAAAGAATACGTTGAAAGATCACAATCTGGCACCATCATGGTCTCAGTTAGGTCACCGACAAATCATTCGTTTTGAAATGGAACATTCTCAAAACCATGGACAAGAAGACGTGTACTTGTACTATGCTCAAAACTACATTTCCATCTAAATTTTTTAAAGTTTATTTCAGTAGTACATCCATTCTCTAAAGTCTATTTTGTGTTTACTTTAGAAGAACGGTTTACATCTTGGTGTCTCTATTATACACAAATACAGTCGCAGCCAGAAAATTTTGGACGTCAGTGTCATTCCTCTGTCAGAAAATGTGAAACACCTTTAAATATTGTTACCTTATTTTTTAGTTTTGTCATTTTTGACGGCATGCTAACACTGGATGCGACGTGACAAATCTTTTAAACTTCAAATATCAAAGTGACAATAAAGCATGGACTACATCAAAATTTTCAAAATGACACGAAAATGACGTCCAAGATTTTCTGGCCGCGACTGTACATAGTCGGGGCCAAAAAATCTTGAAGGTTATTTTTCTGTCATGTTGAAAATTTTTATGTAGCCTATGCTTTATTGTAAATTTGACGCTTGAAGTTTAAAAATTTCTTACGCGTACAGTGTTAGCATGTCTGTACTGTCAAAAATGACAAAACTAAATAAATGAGGTTACGACAGTGGAGTGACAATGACGTTCAAGATTTTCTGACCGCGACTGTACAGGTGTCATCGAAAGGTACGTACAAAATAAAATCGGTAATTGGTCTGGAAGTGTGGGCGCTTAAAATAAAAAAAAAAGTTAATGAAAAGTGTTCTCCTTTTAGAGATAAAAATTATTGAAATTTTGGTCCAAATTCATTGTACGTCTCAGATGAAGACGTCGTTCTTTAGCAACATTTAAAGTTGACAAGTTTTTTTTAATTATTTAATACAACAATAAAATGTCGCCAAATAAAATTAACGTCTGTCGAATAAAAAATAGCTCGTTATGCAAAGGTACGTTTAGTCCAAAAACTGCGGATTGTGGTCTCGAACGAAGAGAGCATGTTCTGTAGAGATGCCAAGACAGAAATTTTGGACATTTTGCACATATGGGCAGATGAAAATCTTCACGCTATCTAGAAAGACGTTTTCAGGAGCAGTTTATGGTCAATGTATAGGTCGGAATACTTGACAATGATTTAGTGGGCTTTTATATTTTACCTCCTCGTTTAACAGCAGCAGTTTATTTGCTAATTGCATTTGTCAAATCTGTTAGATTAGATGATATCCCTGTAGCTACCCTTCGAGATGTGTGGTATCTTCAAGGATGGTTCGATCAACATTTTTCAAGACAATGGATAGGAAGGAATGGAGTAGTGTTATGGCCACCTCGCTCTCCGGGCCTTGATCCATGCGATTTTTTCTCGTGGGAACATTTGAAACAATTGGTATATGAAACTCCCGTAAATATAGTTCAAGAGCTAATAAATCGGATTGAGAATGCTGTGGCGGAGATTAGGAGAAATCGCCACATGATAGCCCGATTACAACCCTCATTAATTCGGCATGTTGAAGCATGTCTCGCCAGTGGAGGCGGTCAATCTGAATAACTGATTTAATTCGTTAATTTTATTTTTATGCCGTATTCGTGTTGATTCTATGTATTTTTCAACTGGCCTTCACCAGTTTCCATAGTTCTCGACTTTTTATTTTTTCTGTATTGCCCTTAAAATAAAAAAAAAACTTATTTATTTTGGCCAAAATAAGTTTTCCATTCATTAGACAAACCACAATTATTATTGTTAGAACTGAATTCACAAAAAAGACAGTTCTTCAATACTTCACTATGTAAAGTATAACCAAATCAAGAGGGACAATATGTTTTAAGTAAACACGTACTCAGATTCTTTCGATTTCAATGCACATCCTGTCACTTGAATTCCAATACGTGTCTCAAAAGGATATCCAATTTCATCTTCCAAGCATTGATAAGATTTAAAGCCTAAACTTTCAATCGTTTTATGAATTGTTGATTCTACACTGAATCATGTTCTAATTTTCATGACTTACGGTGTGTCTAAATCAACGAATAAGTACAAAGGTTCAAATATTTTGCAAATTATGCACCAATTCTCGTTATCCTGAGAATCGCAATATTAGTTTTAGTATTCTGTTAATCTGCCCCATTCTACCACGAATACTTTTTTCGTAATTTTACACGATTAATAGGCAAGAGATATTAAAAAAAAATTCTTTAAATTGTTAATGTTGTTCTCACTCATCCTGACTTTTGTGTTTACTGTTTATGGCTTTTTTGTTGTTAGGATTTATTACAAAAAAAAATATATAGTAATTACATCTATTTATCCTCCAGTAGCGTACCATACTACCCTGTATATGTCGACACTCGGTCGACATTACGCTTAAAAGATTCATATTTATTAAATGACTTTTAAGTACAGGCAACCGCTATTTTATTTACATAAATTTAAATTATAATAGTTGTTCACAAATTACTCCTATACTAAGGACGCTTTAGACATCACGTAGAAAAGGTGTTTGCGATCAAAAAGAGACGAAGATACTGTTTTCTGTCTCTTCCACTACCAATCGTTTTTGCACATGTTCATAAAAGGAACAAACACCCCAAAACGACGAATAATAAGTTCCAGTCCGTAGTGTAGATAACGTTTCAGTTAATACGTGATGTTAATTCGTACTCGAGTAATTGAAAGCAACCAATGGCACAATTACAAATCAAGGACTATTTACGAGGTTATTCATGAGAAGCTCCACGCCTGAGAAATTCAAAACGCAGCCAACAGTACAATTTCATAGCAGTCGTTGATATTAACCATAATTTCTATTTTAAGTTAAATATAGGTAGTTAGCTGTATGGTTTTGATAAGTGGAAAATAAACCTCAGTTATTAGATTTTAAAACTAGAAACAAACAAATTTAAATCAATAGCTCTTGTACTTATTTTTATAAAAAGATCCTTTTGAAATTATATTTCTGGTTGCAACTTGATTTTTTTTATCTAATTCTATATTCAGGTCATAACGAAATACAGGGTGAGTCAGCTAAAAGGGAACATCTTGAATAACTTTTTTATTTCTTAGCCAAAAGTAATGATATTGTTATGAAATACACCCTTACGCCGCCCCGGTACGACGCCTATGGCCGTCGAGAACTCTCTGGTCTTCCCCCGATGATGATTCATCCTCAATGCGACGGAGCGATGGAGTGCTAAAGAAACGCCTGGAAACGGTAGTCGCGAATGGGAGTTCCGGAGAAGTCTAGAACCGGTGACGTAGGGTTTCGAGAAGGACCGTGTGCTGATTAAATAGACTCCACCTTTGGGGAACGGATTATTCAGCTAGTGGAGTCAAAAGCGTCCAGTGAAATTCACCGGAATAATTTTTGTACATACTCCCTGCAATAGTTAGTCGTGTAAATTCGAGTTAGTAAAAAATAAATTATTTAGGCCAATTTTATTCGCCCGCTCTGCGTAACAATATTAAATTTTATTT